TTGGCTGTTTTCTCCTCAGCGGCCAGCCTTCCCACGCTGCTCACCCGGGCCTGAGAGCCTGTCAACCTTCCAGCTTTCAGGCTTAACCCTTACTGCAAGCCTCCGGCTCCCTACAGGGCGTGATATGGATATATAAAATTTTGAGTTGTCTTGAGAAGGACGTATGAAAGGAATCTTGTCCTGGGAAACCTAATTTGAGACTTTCCTCTGCCTCAGCCTCTTGGTGTTTATCCCAAACCTACTTTCCTAGTCAGGTCCCTGCTCAAACTAAAAAAAAAAAAAGACAACCCTGATAAGTGGTGCTTTGTTGTACTATGGTTTTGAAAATTTGGATTTTTCTTTAGGTGAATATGTTCTCTGAAGATTTGGTAAGCTCCAGCTTTGTTTTTCTAGAATTGAAATCCTTACAAATCTTAATATTGTAATTTTAATCTTTGCAATGCTTACATTTTGATCTCTGTCAAGAAGCTCCCATTATGTTGGCTCAGATGATAAATATTGGAATCAAACCAAGGTATGCCCATTTTTGAAAACAAGTGAATATTAAGGGTTTAAAAGACTGAGATTAAAATTTTGAATGTGTGGAAATAAGCAATAACAGATTAGAAATTAGGTTGAACTTAGGGATAGGAAAATATCTTGGTGGTTCTACTTAGGTTGGATTTACAGTGTAGGAAATAAAAATATACTGTTCATGAATTCCTTTATAACAAAAGGTGAAGGATAGTATTTTATTTCTTCCTCAGTTATTAAGCTTGTTATTTTGTTTTTTCCACAGATGCTGCATATGACTTACCTTGCTCTGGTGAAGACCAGTTGCTGGAACATGCCGAGATTCAGCCGGTGGCATGTAATGGACACTGCAAATTTCCCTTTTCATCCAGAGCCTTTTTGAGTTTCAAGTTTGACCATAACGCTATAATGAAAATCTTGGACCTTTGATAGCAGCAGGCGTGTTGTGGAAGTCCCAAGATCAGAGACCTGTTGCATTTGAGTGGGTGTCTCTCTGAGCCTTACCTTTCTCAGGTGTTTTAAAGAAATGCAGGGAGGCAATGATGTTCTGTGTGCAGAAAAGAGAGTAGAAAGAAATATGAATTTGAACTGTTGATGCATTTATAACCTTTTATACAGATGTACCTTTTCAGTGTTTAGCTAATGAATTTAAGTTGCTTTTTATGAGGGCATTTTTTTTTTTTTGTGATTGTGTTTTTTACTTTATATTTTTATCAAGAAAACAGTGTTTCAATTATCAAGTAGCCAAGTTAATGGGCATGCTCCATCTACCCATTTCAGTGATTATAATAATAGTTTCCTTATATTGAAATTTTAAAAGAAACTTAAATACACAATTATTAAGTGAATACAAGAGCTAAAATGTCACAGAAGTCCAGATTGCAGGTCATCTGCTTTGGTGGCATTTTATACATTACTTTGCTTCTAACCACTTAGGTCCTCTAATCTTCCTCTGCTGGGCGTTTTATTGAAAGGTTTTATTTGGAGCCAGCATATGTTATACAATGTTCATGTTCAGAATGAACTCTTAGTGCTTCACTAAAGGGCAGCGTCCTCAGCCTGGCTGGGTGGGGAGTTGCTGTTCCAATTTTGCGTTGCGTGCAGGCGATCAACCTGTGAGACTTCTGCGGAGAGCAGCAGAGAGCACAGAGGCCAAGACCAGCCGCTGCTTCCTCCGGTCCTGTCTGCCGTCCTGCCGCCAGCCCTTTGGTGTTGTGCAATGATTCTGCTCTCGTGAAAATTTAATCTGTATTACGGTTGTGTAAATACGAATGGAATACTGACAATATTAGGTTTTACATTGCATCTCAGTGTTGCTCTCTGGAAACTGATGTTCTATTAGGTTCCAATTTGCAGTCGTAGCAGAGACGGACCTGCTTCTGTTAGCATGCTGAAGCCCCGGGGTGATGGAGCAATATGGAAGGGGTACGCGATTAACGCAAGTACAGATAAAGCATTTCACTGGGGGAGGATTAGAACACAAAAGTAGCGTATGTAACTCACTCCTAGGAATGTATTTTGCTCTTTCAGGATTCTGAAATCCAAATAAGGATGGCAGTGCCCATTTTAAGAAGGGTTTTAGCTATAATTGAGGACAATCACCAGGGCTTTAAGGGGGCTTTAGTGTTTGGGCTGCTTCTGACCTCAGTGAAGGTATTTCTTTGTTGGGGGTGTGGGGGTGGTGGTGAGCATATGCGTGCGTGTGCATTTGTCATGTGGGTTTTAAAAATCATTTTTTACATGTGGTATCCACAAAATATATCTCTGCTTGTAAATTTTATTGTAGAAATCTTTATTCTGTATAGATAGCCTATTTAATAGGGGTTCTATTTAACCTAGTGGGACTTTCAAAAGAAATGCTATTGTAAGGAATTCACTTGGTATTACTTTGCTTTAACTTTTAAATGGCTTGATTTTAAAGAAGAAATTCTATTTATTAATAAGAGTGTCACCCTCTTGGTGCTAAGCAGGAGAATTCACAATTACAGCATTGTGTTTCAAATTCGGTTATTTACAATAATGCATCTTTTAATGTGACAGATTTGTGAATCCTTCTGTGACCTTTTTAAAAATGCATTATATGATTATGTTTGGAAGCTCTTACTGTCCTTTCCAGAAATACAGCTGCTTTGCTTGGGTCTTCTTGAGCCATATTTATAGTTGGTCCCAGCATTCCAGATTTCTGTTAAGTTGCTAAGGGAGTGAAAACTTCATTTGCCTGACAGGTAAATCATTTTCACTCATTTACTGTTATCTGGAAACTTTTTAATTTTTAGAGATTTTGTATGTGTTTCTTTTTAAGTGAGTACTATATTATGGTCAGTCTTCTGGTGCCTAGAGCTGCATTTTCAGCTCTCAATACTAAAGCAAAAGAGATTAGAGGGTTTTTTTTGTTTGTTGGTTTTTTTTCAGAAGTATGTCTGGTAGTAATGGTGTTGAACCTTTTCAAGAACCAACAAATGATGTCTTTTCAATTATGGTGGTGTAACCATAGTTAAACGTTATGCTGTTGTGCTGCTTCACTTAATGCACTGTGGAACAAAATAAGGGTATTCTTGGGATGGGATTTTGATAACTTGAGGCTTTTAACTATCTTGACAGTTTGAGATTTTAAAAAATATGTTAAAAGATGGGACTGAAGTTTGTGTGTGATGTGACTTAACTATGCAGAAAATGTGTAAGTTGGATGGATGTACTTGCTTTATGTACATCAGGTATACTTCTTCCCTTGAACCTGTGTATTAGTTTCTCAGTGTTCAGGTTTCCTTGAGAAAGGCCATGCTTAGCACAGAAATGGATTTCTCCTTTGAGAAATTTTAGCATGGTTTGAAGAAATCAAGTGATAATGGAGTGTTCTCAATATGCAATAATGTACTTTGGTGTGCTGCATTTTAAGAAGCTAGATGAGGAGAGTAGTTGTGTTGGCTTCATGTCTTTCAAAGAGAAATAGGTCTTTGAATCCACTTTTAAATGTTCTTATGTTCCAACCTTATGTGTTCCAAGTTTCAGTGCACTGTGAATCTTTCATTTTTAAAAATTTTGTAGGTGCTTTTATGTATAACTTAATGATCCATAAGATGTTAAATGAATTGTTTTTGTATTTAACCATTGTAATCCAAAAGATAGGGGTATGGTTTACATGCTTTTATAAGTTTTTATTAAGACATAGTAAATGAATGGTTTTAGGATTTCAAACAGTGACGCTCTCCTGAGAAATGAGCATTTGGAGAAGTCTGAGAACCTAATAGAACTCTTTTATGAGCATGGGTATAATTTGATTGAAGATGTTTAAAAATTAAGTTGGATTTTCATGTTAGTATATAAAGGCAAGTCTGTGCTGTCAAAGTAATGTGTGGTCATTGCTCGCTGCCTTGAGCTTTGGATATCCTTATTTTTCTATTAAATATCAGTAAGTACAGATAATGAAGATGTATAACAAAAGTTAGCAAAATTTTAAGGTATAAGATTGGGTTGGTACTTATTAGTTTTTTAGTCATGTGTGTGCAGTAGTCCCCCCTTATCTGCAGTTTTGCCTTCTGCTGTTTCAGTTACCCAGTCAACTGCAGTCTGAAAATAAATGGGAAATTCCAGAAATAAATAATTCATGAGTTTTAAATTGTGGTTGTTCTGCATAGTGTGATGAAATCTCACACTGTCCCACTCCCTCCAGCCTGGACGTGAATCATCCCTTTGTCCAGCGGATCCGCGGTGCATACGCTGCTCACCTGTCAGTCACTGAGTTAGCCCTCTGGGTGATCAGATTGACTGTCATGGTGTCACAGTGCTTGTGTTCAAGTAAACCTTGTTTGACTTAACAGCGGCTCCGAAGTGCAAGAGTGGTGGTGCTGGCAGTTCACATACCCAAAGAGGAACTGTAAAATGCTTCCTTTAAGTGAAAAGGGATGTATGTGTAGGAAAATCATGGTATATATATATATATATATATATATATATATGTAGGGTTTGGTCCTGTCCATGGTTTCGGACACCCTGTGGGGTTCTTGGAATGCATCTCCGCAGACAAGGAAGGACTACTGTAATATCAAATTAAAAAAAAATCTAAGTGAATAGCATCCTTCCACAGAGATTAAATTCCTTAAAACTCAACATACTGTGGTGGTCTTTAGAAATGTTCAGGTATAACTGCATGTGTGCATTAAAAACATTTCATTATCTGTCCCCTCACTCATTTTTTTTTTTTTTTTGGTCTTAAGTAGTTAGTTAACTTGAACAGTAAGGAGCAAAGTCAATTATGAAAATGAGACTTTTGCCAAGTCATTTTTCTTACTGTGACAATATCTCTTGGCTTTCTAGATTTTTTTTACCAGTAGATCACCTTCTGCCTGCTTAGACATTTTGTTGACTGACATCTGTTGTGTCTCACTATTCTCTGAGGCAGTATTTTCTTTGCATATTACTCATAGTTATGAGGTCAGATTCATTAACATTTTTCTGACTGAAGAAAAATAGGTGTTACTTAGTAATTTTGACTTGGATAATTTTCTAGCCTGGGGAGGGGGCTTATATGCATTGTTTTAACTTTAATAAGAAAGACAAACTTATTTTGTCTGAAGGTATCAATGTCCTTTACCTTTAATTACCTGTCTCTAGGTAAACAGGTATTAGTAAAACAACAGTTTTGTTAAACCTTATTCCTGCTAGCTTGGTAAAGCCTAGCTAGAGTTCCTCATTTTGTATTCTAAGACTTTAAAGGGCATTTGTATACTTGCCAAAATTTCTAAAAATGAAATTATGATATACTTTCTCAGAATTCTTTTTCTAGAATTGAGCTATTTTTTTAAAATTTTGTTTATTTTTTGTTAATTTTTAGAATTGAGTTACTCTTGAAGTTTGTACTCCTGTGTCATAAAGATGGCAGGCAAGGCTCTGTCCTGTGCTTTCTAAGTAGAGTTCTGGGTTGCAGTTTGAAAAAATATGGTGTTATTATTGTAGAACAAAAGTGCCCCGAAGGGAGAAGATAGCTGTGTTTGCTGGGCAAAGAGAACATAAAGAAGACATTTAGGAGATAAATCACAAGTGCTGTGTGATGTACTAGTAGGAATGTGAGCATTGCCTGGCGCAAGCAGAGTGTTACTATTAGGTGGCCATTACCAAGCGTTTTCTAGATCTGGATAGTTCATTTTTCCTAAGGATGGTGGCCAAGCAATCCAGTAAATCTAAAGTCCTTTTTCTCACTCTAAAGGCCACTTTGGGAGTTTTGTCCTTCCTGTGCTGGTCCTTTACAACTCGTCATACTGAAGTGCACTGCTGTCATACAGGAATGCAGCCCAGCGCACACACCGACATAGGGGTGTGTCACAGTCACTTCACAGGGTAGCTACGCATTTGTCCTAAATGGTGACCCATTCCTTGTCATCTAGTTGCCTTGTGACAAACAGCATTTACTATTGAAATAGTAATCTCTAGCTAGGGAAAAAAGTTACCTCTCATGGATGGGAGTGCACTTGAAGGGCTGACTTCCATGAGCTTAGTCTCTCAGACTTTAACGTAAAGTATAAAGAAGTGTAAATAAAACTATCATAAAGTATGGAAGTCTTCTATCTTGAGAGATGTTCCTAATTGAATCTTGACTCTGGACCCCCAGATTAATGAAATCACCAGTTAAAGAGATTCCATTTGTCTTGGGTCTTCTGTGGTTACCAGAGGGAGATGGTCTAGAGATGGTAGCAGCTTGAAAGCCAAGTCTAACTGGACTTAACCTTGACGAGGCACTTGCATTAACTGTGTAGTTGTTGGTCAAGGGTGTTCTAGGAAAAGAGTCAATACAGAAATCGTTGCCTTTGTAACTCTGTTCCACACGGACTCCTCTTAGACTGTTAGTCCAGTGGTGGATGAACGAGGCCCTGAACATATATTTGCTGCTTTTTTGGTGGGAGGGATCTTGCAGGTGGTTGGGTGGTGTTTTGTTTATTCACTTGTGTCTGTCGAGTGCCATTTGAAGACATGTTTCTTAATCCGTTTTCCTGTTGTGATAGGCCAGGAAGAGGCCATTGAGCCCCTTCCCCCGCTATCCCCCTTTCCTGCCCCCTTTGTATCTTGTCCCTTCCCTTCTGTAGAAGGTTTTTTTTGTTTGTTTCGTTTTTTTCTTTTTGTATTGTACTCCTATGGTGAATCTGCCACTGAGAATTGGCAAGCAGTGATTGTATCTTGCTTTCCAGAGACGGTCCACTATGACCCTTGGGCCACAAGCAGATTGGAGGGCTGTAGAAACCTGTGCTGTTGTGTCTCAATGCACGTAGCTGTCAAATTGGTTTGGGAACAAAGAAAACTTGTGCATGGTTCTAGGGTGAAATGGGCAGTGTTCTGCTTGGCTTACTATGCTTTTGTGATATTTAGGAATAGACTGGATAGCAGCAAATGAAAGCAAAGTGAAAGTTTTCAACTGTGAATGAAATTGAGAAGGGCAGTAACTACACCTCGGCAGTTTGGTTGGTTAGATGTGCTAACACTAGGAATGGATGAGTAGCAGTGGACTTGCACTCTTCATATACTATATAAACGATATGCACTGATAGAAGAGCACAAACGACATCTTTAAGTTTCTTTGTGCATTTCGCCACTGTCCTAGGGCACTGCTGTCTCATTTTAGATTTGTGTTTGGATCTTGCAGAAGTACCTTTTAATTTCAAATGCAAGTGTCTAAGAACTGTCTTTATTTTTACTTTTTATTCATATTTCACTTCAGAGTTAAGACAGGAGACAGCTAATCTGACTTCCACTTTATAAATATTATTACAAACTCTTCAGTAACAAATAGGGAAGGAAAATAAAACTGAACTATTTTACTTACATATATTTGTGTGTGTATATATATATTTGTGTGTGTGTGTCTATATATATATATATATATATATGTAGACACAATTTTTTTCTTATAATTGTTTTTGAAATTTGCTTATTAGCTTAATACCTTATAAAATTCTTTGGTAGGTATTGACTCATAATTCAGATTAATTTTACTTGTTGGCTTTAATGAAAATTTTAAACAATCTTATTTTAGAGTAAAATGATTAATCAGATGGAATTAATAGTTCATATATTAGCTAATTTAAGTGTAATCTTATATAAGGTTGTCTTTCATCTAAGCAAAATAAGGGCATATAATTTAGTTGGGATGGGAATAATTGATTTCTTTTTGTACCCTATTTCCAAAATAAGATATGAACAAGTGTCTCATATGCTGTGGGGACTAGGTAATGTTCATGGAAAATTTGTAGTCTTAAAACAGTTTTCTTGGGAGTAGTTGTAGTCTGAAAAGGGTGAAGATATTTATATGCTGAGTCATGTTAAATTATTTTATTTGGAACTTAAAAACATTGATGAAATGCTTTCACTAAATATTTGACATTTGAGAAAACTGGACTTTAGAATAAATGTGATAACTAGATTTGGAATCATTTTTGTCTTATGTGAAATAATTGAACAATTTTTGCCTTAATTAAAGCAGCATTTTATTTCTTTACCTTAGGGCATTTTAATCTTTGGAGAAAGACTAAGTAAACCATTGGAGTGATTCTGTCTGTGGTAGTAATGAAGTTCTTGGTGCTTGTTTTGGCTAATTGTCAAACATTTACTGAGAGCAGAAAAGGAATCCCAAGATACTAGTCAAGTTCACCCTGTTGTTATAAGAATTGATACCTTCAGAGCGGATTTATTGCGTTTCTGGATTTATTACCTTTTGATTGAACAGTAGCTTTGTCTCTTTTCCTCAGTGTTAATGAAAGAATAAGGACTGATTTTTCACTTGTATTGGGTGTGACCATCATAAATAAAGGAGTGAACTCATGTTTATGAATTGGGAGTTCAGATGTTTGCCAGGGTTACTACCCTTCCAGAGTTGACTAGAAATGCCAGCTGTGTACGCTCCAGTGAGAAAATGAACAGAGTCCTATGTCTTAACAGTAATGTTCTTTTTGATGTAAATAACATCAGTTTAGAAATTACAAAGTACCATTTGAATGATGGAAGGTTTCCTTTATATCTGAAAACATTTTTTTCAGTTGATTGTTCAAATATTGGCTTTCTGTAAATCGTGTTAAATTTAGACTGTTTGTAGTGCAATATCAATAAATTTTGCTGCTTGGGCAGTTTTAATTACTACCTTAACCTGTTTTCTGCTGTTACTTATAGGTTCCCAGTTGCTCATATTTTGGTTGCATCTCTTTGGACCAATAAAAACTGACAAATATGAGATAAGGTATGTTTATATGATAGGAAAAAGTATTAAAATATAGAGTGTCTGCATAAATGATAATAAAGAACTGATATGTACTTTCCATCTCAATTAGTTTGGTTGTTGCTTTAAAGGAAGATTACAGTGTAAGTTAACTAGACACATAAAATCCAGTTCTTAAATTTGTACTAGAAGCAGGTTTTCTGAATAGAATGCTTGACAGGCCTTGGAGCTCAGGAGAGAATGTTTTTCTAGTACAGACCTTGTAATTTTTATTTAAAATTTTAAGAGTGACCAAGATATTACACTCTTATTGTCAAAGGTACTTTGCTTTGATAGTGAGAACTGACAGCAGTGCAGTAATGGTCCGTCTAACAGACATTCTGCAAAGCTGTTTGCCGTCCTTTCTGATAGTCATGTATGACTTGTGCTTCCAA